TGTATGTGACCAACTAAAGTTTTGCATGACATTTTGACTAGGATTATGCCTTAGATGATTGTAAGCAGCAAGAAAACTTTCTGGGTTTCGGATCAGAGCTATTGAGTATATATTTTTTTATAGTTTCACGGTCTACAACCTTGCTTTACCTTCCCTCTTTTATAACTTTTTTTTTTCTTCCAAACAGAAAGCATGCGACAGCAGGCAAATGCGGATCCGTCTTCTGCTAAAAAATGCTCTACAATGTAATGTGAGATTTATTGAGAAAGGTCTAGACTGAGCACGTACCAACCAGGAGATTGGATGCTCTTCAAATACACAGCACTGACGAAACACAAATACTCCCTCAAATATAACCTCAGTGATGTGACTGAGAAGAAAACTTAGCCTGTTCACACCCAGAGCAAATATTTACAGCAAACATGACTTTGGATTGAAATGATGTGTTTCTGTGGAACCATTCATATTGAGAAAATATGACACTTTTTTGAAGAACAGGTAGATTTCTCTCTCTCTCTCTCTCTCTCTCTCTCTCTCTCTCTCTGTGTCTCTCTGTCTGTCGAAAAACATGCCAAGCAATAACTTTATTGGTCATGCTGAATTTCACTTTTCACATTTAATTTTTACAGTTATGCATGTATTTCTGTCCTATTTATTTGTAGTGGCAGCTTTTCTGCTGTAATTGTTATTTTTAAGACTAGAAACAAAAACAATACTAATACAGATGCATAGCTCAGGATACTGGGTAACACGTTTTATGCGTGTTTGAAATGTGTGTGATCATCCTGTTCATTATAGGATTTGCAAGACTGAAAGGCCCGAACCTTTTTATTGTATGTGCAAATGTTCTTATATGAACACGGGACAAAAGAGTGAAGAAGGTGCAATGAAATTAAGAGAATAAACCACTGTAGTATTTTATGCAGATTAGGGCTGGGTTGACATCAAGTTCTCTCTTTTTTTTTTTTTTAGTAAATCCCAACAAGCTTTGTGCTTTGTTACTTTTGATATAAAACAAAGCTTAGCTTTAAAATTCTGTCACTTTTTTTTAGGAAATTCAAACAATAAATACAGTTTTGGCGCTTTTTAATGAAGTGTGACAGATGGCTGTAGCACCTCATTTCGAGCGCACGTGAACCAAACATATTTTCCCCTTTACTTCTAGTTATTGTATGAAATAAACATGAATGAACATCGGAAGTTGTTGAAAATGTATCATGTCTCATGCAAGTGCTCAATCAGTTTTCAGCTGCGGAAAGAACAGCTTGTTAACGATGTCACGTAACGTTTACCTCAGAAAAGCCATTCAGTGCCCATAGCTGGACAGTTAGCTATAAATAAACTCTATAGAGAAGAATTTTGGTGAATATATGCACTGTTACATATTTATAATATTTTTTACTTAACCTGTTCTCCGATATTTGAATAAATCCATCATCAAAACACGTTTATATGACAGCCACCATTTAAATGTTTATATTTAAAAAATGAATTGGAGCATAGTTATATCATTAAGTATAGGCTTAGTATATCTTCTTCCCTTTACAGTTTACAGCATTAGTTGAGATTTCTTTACTTGAGAAAAACTGACATGTTTTGTACCTGATACGTATCCAAATGAATCAGTATCGAATCGAGATCAGAACTGAATCGAATCACACGCTTGAGAATCAAAATTTGTGTCAACCCAGTTTTTATGCAAACATTCTGAATATATTCAGCCTGCCTAAGCAAGAGATGTGTAAATGTTGGTTATGATGTTAAAGATGCCTGAAAAATGCGTAGACTGTAACTGAAACTGTACTTGTTTGAGTCACTGTATGCAGCATGACTAGAGTTGTTGTTAAGGTGTTGATTTTTTCCCACACTAAAAGGCTGTTATTTAATTTAGTTTAATTGTAGATTGCACTTAAAACTCTATCTAGATATTTGTGTCATTTTTGTTATAATGGCTTTAGTGGACTGTGACTCGACAGGAAATTAAGTGCTGATCTGAAGCAGGTTAAAAGTTAATATTGACATGAAAATATTTCTGCCAAGACAAAAGATGCAAATTTACAGTCACCAGTGGTTATCGGGTAGTAACCAAATGTTACTATGTACGCCAACCAAAATGCTAGTCAAGTGCATCACATTGCCATTTTTAAATGAGGTGAAAATATGACGCAAACAGATCAATCAAAACCAGCCATCTCTGAGGAACAGGCAGCTGTTTTCTTTTGGAATTATTTTGCAAGCTGTCTCCAAGCAACACAAGCCGTCTCAATAAATATAAATATTACAACAGGAAGTTCTGCTTATTTCATTCTGTATTTTCATTGCCACAAGGTTTCCTCTCAATAATTAGTGCAATAATCTTTGTGTAATCTTTCTGTAATAGTCCATAATATTTGTTTAATTGTTTTGGACTGTTTTCACATGTAATTGGTGCTTGTTCTGTGCATATTTCATTCCTGATTCAGAAGCGATCGTTTAAAGTTAAAACATCTTAATGATGGATTTGTTTATTACAAACATGCAGCTTTTCACTTCACAAGATGTTAACTGGTGGACTGGAGTGGTGTGGATTACTTGTGGATTATTATGATGTTTTTATCAGCTGTTTGGACTCTCAATCTGACGGCACCCATTCACTGCAGAGGATCCATTGCTGAACAAGTGAGATAATGCTACATTTCTCCAAATCTGTTCTGATGAAGAAACAAACTCATCTACATCTTGGATGGCCTGAGGTTGAGTAAATTTGCAGCAAATTTACATTTTTGGGTGAACTGTTCCTTTAAGCCAGCGGCATTCACATCCACCTCTATTCTGATCCTGATGTTTCACTCCGAAAAACGTCACAATACTGTTGTAATGTTGGTTGCAACTTCTGTTTCATGCCAAGTTTAATGTGCTGGCACCTTCAAAAAACTATTATGGTGGTACCAGATCATAATATCATGGTACTGAATGATTACTATATTCATATACAGGTGCATCTCAATAAATTAGAATGTCGTGGAAAAGTTCATTTATTTCAGTAATTCAACTCAA